AAAAAAAAAAAAAAAGAAATGTGATGGTCTTGGGTGGGTAGCTGGCCTGTAAAACCAGGAGCCTTTTTGCCAGGGGAGTGGTAACAAGCCAGTTTTGCTGGGAGCTTCTGCTCCCTGTCCGTGGCTTGGTGACTAATGGTTTCGTGGCTTCGGGAATGAGGGATGTCATTACAAGCGGATGATGGGGATTTGGCTGCTGAACTGGATTATCTGGGTGTGCCTGGCCTGGGTGTTTATGCCTACACCCATTGGGAATGGGGACAGTTTCTCAGCCCCTGCTCGGGCCCCAGCAGCCTCTAGTCCATTTCGGTCCACTGTTCTGAGCTTCTCTGGTGGCCCTGGCCCTGAGCAGACCCTCTAGGTGACCGTGGCTGGATTCCTGCTGTGTTAGGTGCTGTGTTTTCCCTGACCATCCCTCACCTCTCCAGCTGCCACCACATTTGTCCTCAGGCAGGAGCTTTGTGGCCCCCATCCGGAGTTCTCGTCTTCATGTTACCCCCCTTCCCCCACCCACCTCGAGCTAATGGAATAAACGCATATGGATTCTGGAGTTGTCTTTGTTTGAAACATTTTTGTTTTTGATTATCAGCTTGTTAAACATTTAGAGAGGGAGGAAACTGAGTCTTCACAGCCTCTTAGGGGGAGGTTTCCTCCTTCCTTGGATTATTTTTTTGTTCAGAGGTAGCTGGAGGGCAAGGAGAGGGGAGGCTACTGCTTGTGTCATAGAGAGCAGAAGCAGTTATCCAAACAAACAGTGTGGCTAATGGCACGTGTGGGTAGAATGGATCCTTGCAATTTGTAGCAATGGTATGCGTATGGTTTTGAGGTAAACAAACATGCCTATGTTTTATGCAAATTAACGCATACCTATATGTTGAAAGCTTACAGGAGAAAGGAGGCAGTAATCCTATAGCTTCTTCTTCTTTTTTTTTTTTTAAAGATTTTTAAATTTTATTTATTTGAGAGAGAGAGCGAAAGAGAGAGCAAGCACACAGAGGGAGGGGAGGGGGAAATAGGCTCCCCGCTGAGCAGGGAGCCCCATGCAGGGCTCGATCCCAAGACCCTGGGATCATGACCTGAGCTGAAGGCAGATGCTTCACCGACTGAGCCATCCAGGTGCCCCCTAAAACTTATTTTCTTAAGGGTCTATAGGAAGAATTTTCACCCAGGAGGCCATGCTTCGAGCCTCCCAGCCGGATCCCAAGGATAGTCATCCCCAGAGCTGGGCGGTAAGGACCTGCAGGCTCTGGAGGCCAGGAGGCGGCCAGCCTGCTGCCTCTGGGGGAACTGAGCCCTCGCCCCAGCAGGCGACCCCATTGATTTAATGACCTAATTCTCACAACAGGAAGTTGGAGGCCTTCCTGGCCCTGGGATTCTGAGGGGATGCAGTGAACCCATTCAGGAAGCTTATTTACTTGAACCAATTATAAGAGAACTTTAATGGAGGGAAGGGATGGAGGGAGAGCTGAGGCAAAGGAAGAAGAGCTGGAGAGGCCAGCGCAGGGAGGGGCGGGGAGGGCCGGGCTGGTGCCATGCTTTTTGGCCTGCCATTATGAGGGTGGCATGAATGCGTCCATAGGCTTCTGAGTGAAGGGACCTCATGCAGCTCCTGAGAAATAAATAGCACTGAATAAATAGTCTTTCCCCTTCCTCTTTAGAAAAAAAATCTTTTAAATTTCTCAATTTAATTAAAAATGTTAAATGGTGACCTGCAGGAATTGACATAGCTGTGGGCTGTGGGGTTGACAGGACTTCCATGGGTTGAGATTATCATTCTCGCCTCCTTCTCTGGAGGTGACACAGGTCTGTGAAACCTCCTGGCCAGGCACCTTCCCACCAGGCCTGCAGTGGACTTCAGCTCTCTCCCTCAGAACACTGACCAGCGATGCAAAGTGAGTTTTCCCTCGGTGGAGGGGAGCAGGGGCGTCGGCAAGCTGGGGGGCATCTCAGATGTCAATCTAGGTTACAGGAGAGAAAAAGGGTCCTTCTGTCATCAACTTGCACAGGGTGGCTTCGGACGCTGCCAGGTGCTCAGCCCGTGGTGAGGGTCCTCCAGCCTGGGAGACCTCCTGCCCAGGACGGGGGACAGAGTGCGCTTGCACCCATTCGAGAGCAGAAGCTTCCAACTCCTCCATTCACTTATAAATAGACAAGGGCTCTGGAGTCTGCATTACCCACTCCCTGGAACCTGCCAGAGGCCGAGGGTCACGAATCAGACTGAATCAGAGGAAGATCCGGAGCCGCGTTTTATAGGCGCGCTGGTTCCTGACTTCAGGTCTCTGGCTCTGGCTTGGCCGGGTTTCAGGGCTCCAGCCGTTCTCTGGGAAGAAAAAAGAATATTTTAAAATTAGGTCAAAAGATGCTTTTTTCCTTCTGTCCTCATTCCCCTGTTGTGCCGAGAGAACACCACCACCACCTGTGTGTCCCTCGGTCGGAACCACAGCCTCGAAACTTAGCCCGGGATCAGGAGTGTCCCCGTGCAGCTGGGGAAACTTCCTCCGGCCCCTCCGCATTCCCTTCCTGTTTGCATTGTTCTCAGCTGAACAGCAGGCCTGCCAGGTACTCTTTCTTAGCTGTAAAAAGAGGGGCTTCACGCCAATTAGGACTTGAAGAGATAGCAACATCCGAGTAACTTATTTTTATCAGTCAGGCAAAATCATAGGGAAAAAAATTTTTTAAGCCTGAAGTTCTAAACAGATGCCTTATATCAGTGCAACCACATCAACATTATATAGTCTATACATACAGGTCCCTTCTAGTCCTCGATGTCTCAGATTCCCTGTGGGGACAGCATTGGGGCTGGGGGCTCCTTTGTGGTTCCCAGGTGACTCTCTCAGGCTTCCCGAATCTGTTCATTCACATAACAGAGCCCCAGATGTGACTGGCGGCACTGTTCCCTACCCCCCGTCCAGTGTATCAGCTCCCTCTATGAGTGAGAGAAGAATTATATTTAATGAGATGTGTGGGTTCATTTTGATGTCTCTGAGAAAAGGCTGCCTGGGGCCTGCCCGCAGATAGCTTGCAGCTTGAGGTGGGAGGAGATGTGCAGACACCCCAGGGCGGGGGCAGGGGGGGATGTCAGGCGTCTTGAGGCGGGAAATTTGGGCAGGTGTAAACCCAGGGCTCAGGGCAGCCCAGGGAAGGTGCTACCGAGCAGAGAACAGTAAGTAGGAAAGGGCATTCTGGGCCGAGGGACCTGCAGCTGCTAAGGCCCAGAGGTGTTGAAGGAACCCCATGCAGCTGGTAACTCTGAGGTTACCAGAGGTAACTGAGGTAACTGAGGGAAACCACGGGCATCCCAGGGCCTTCGGCAGCATCCCTGGCCCCTGCCCACTAGCATCCTCCCCATTACGACGACCAGAAATGTCTCAGACATCACCAGATGCCCCCGACTGAGCACCCCCGCTTCTCAGGGACGTGGTGGACGGCTGGTCCTACTACCTGTCCCTGCCCAAGGCAGGTGTGGGGGGAGGCCCTTTCTTCTCGCATCCTGTCCAGCGTGCAGGTCCTGGGGAGCCCTCTCTGGGCAGATCTGTGCCTGTCCTGCAGCCCTTTGTTGTTATCGTTTAAAGATTTATTATTTATTTTGGGGAGAGAGTAGGGGAGGAGCAGAGGGAGAGGGAGAGCGAATCTCCAGCAGACTCCTCACTGAGCGAGGAGCCCGACACGGGGCTCCATCCCTGGACCCTGAGCCAAAATCAAGTCAGCCTCTTAACTGACTGAGCTGCCCCCCACCCCCCACCCCCCCACCGCCAATGCTTCCAGGCGCCCCCTTCCCAGCCTAACCACGGTCTTCTCTGTGGCTGCCTTCCCCACGGTTGTCAGGACAGCTGGGCAGGGCGGCCGCGCTCTGCTTGCTGTTGGGTTGTTTTGAATCAGGTCCCATGGATTTGATTTTAATGCTGCAAGAACCTTCACCCAAGGGCCTTCATCAGAGCGGTTCACTCCTGGAACAGGATGCACCTGCCGCATTGCCGTGAAGGACAGGTTACAGCTCTGAGGTGGGAGGTGTTTGGGGGGGTGAAAAGCCCAAGAGTTTGGACTCACTCCTGTGCCCACGAACCTGCAGCCAGAGAGGAGCAGGGCTCATCTGTGTTCGGGCCTCAGAGCTGCTCCCCACTACAGCAGGGCCTTCAGGTTGTACTACACATAGCTCCTCGCACACACACCACCCCTCCCAACCCCAGAGCAAGGGCAGGCCTCTCCTACTGCCTTGCTTGACCATTTCCCAGTGGCTTTTCAGTGTTTTCCTGACTTTCCATTTTGATTTCAAATCTGCAGAAAAGTCGAAATAGTAGTGAACTCTGACCTTTACCTAGTGTCACCAGTGTTCACCTTTTGCCATAGTTGCTCACGCACCTTCTGTGCACGCTCACACACACTTAGGCACACACACTTTTTTTCCCCCCTGAACCATTTAGGAGTAAGCTGCAAGCATTGAGATGTTTCACGCTTACGTACTCCAGCCCGCATCGCTTAAGGGCCAGGGTATTTTCCAGAGCACCCAGGATAAAATCACATTCAACACACACAACATTGATACAATACCATTATCTAATCAATACTCTCTAGTAAACCTTGCCTAATTGCCCAATAACGGCCTTTATGACTCCTTCCCCCTCTCTCTCCCCGGATCCCATCAAGGACCATTCACTGTGTTCAGTTGTTATGCTGTATTATCTTCTTTTCTGACTGGCAGGAGTTTGGGGCTCTGGCCTTTTTTTTTTTCTCTGAAGTGGATTTTCATTTTCATTTCAGTTAAAATGGCTGACGCTTCTCTCAACTCCTGAGCCAGGAGGCGCTTGATAGGATGGAGGGAACTCATGCATTCAAATTCGGGCCCTGTCACTTCTTAGCTCCTTGGCCTTGGGCAGGTTACTTAGCATCCCTGAGTCGCAGTTGTCTTATCTATCAAATGGGAGTAATTCTTACCTTGCAGGCTTGTTGCAAGGACTAAAATTAAACGAGACAAATGTGATGAATGTGCCTGACGGTGTGCCTGTCCCTTGGAGAACGCTCCAGCAACAGCAGTAATTATCATTGTTCTGCCATGTAGCCTGGCTTCATAGAGCAGGAAGGAGCTTTGGATCAGGTTTGAACTTGGGTTGGTGACCTCAGGAAGAACTCCTTATCCCCAGCTCATCTCCGGAAGAATGATGCCACGTCCTGCAGACTCCCTGACTCGCCAGAGCTGCCATTAGACCTGTTTTGCTCATGCTGGTGGAACATGGTTCGAGAATGCTGAGCCTGGCTCTGGATTGAGGAGGCTTCAATGTGGAATTTATTAATTAAGGCAGTTGCTCATGAGGCCCCAGAGTCCAGGAGGTTGCAGCTTAATTACCGAGAGCAGAGCTTGTGGAAATTCTCTCCAGTGCCCTAGTTTTGATGTCGCTGAGGGTCTGAGCTGCCGCCTGGTACGGAGCTGCAGACCGGGCTCGGGCCCGCCTCCCTCTCCTTGGCCCTGAGTGCTTTCTACCCATTTACACGTATCCTGGATAGCAGTGTCGCATAGTGGTTCAGAACTTGGACGATCTGGGTTTGAATCCTGCCTCAGTGCAGAGTAGGACAGACTGGCTGAGTGATCACTGGGTGATCTCTGCATCTCCGTGTCCTCATTTGTTGAACCTTAACAAGGATGTTTGCTCTGAAGCCTGAATGATTTATGTACCTGAAGGGGTGAGCACAGTACTTGGCCAATAGTTAGAATGTGTGTCAACTATTTCTTTAGAGGAGTTCTCAACCTGGGGTGATTTTGCCTCCCAGGGGACACAATGGCAACGTCTGGAGACATTTTTGGTTGTCACAACCAGGAAGGGGCTGCTCCTGGAGTCTAGCGGATAGAGCCCAGGGTTGCTGCTAAATATCCTACAATGCCCAGGACAGTCCTCACAACAAAGAATTCTAAATTCTCCATCGTGCCAAGGTTGGGAAACTCTGCTTTAAAGCACCCCCGGTGATTCAGGGCGGCGTGTGGAACATGGAGGTGGGGTCCTGCCCTCCCCGCCGACCCCATAACTCTTCACTCCTGATCATTCCTTTGAGCCAGTTGGGGGCCGATGGGTGAACTGGGAAGGAAAAGGGAGGAAAGGAAGCTGGGTATGTTAAGCCTTTGAATTCTTACTGTTTAGTCTTATTCCCACCACCCCCCATTCTATAACAAAAATACCCCTTACTCGCGTTGTCTATTATCATCTTGTGATCTTATCATTAGAGTAACTAGTGTTTATTGAGCGTTTGCTGTGTGCCATGTACTATGCCTAGTGCTCTCTGTTATCTTATTTTCACAGCCCTGATAGGCAGGTGCCATTATCATCCCCATTCTACAGATAAGGAAACTGAGGCTTATTGATGGGAAGGCTCTAAGCTGTCTGAAATTCAACCCCTGGTCCTTTTCCAAAACTGTTCCACCTGCATCTCTCCCATCTTGGTTGATAGGAGTGCTGCCTTCAGTTGCTCAGCCCCCAGAACTGGGGGTCCCCATCCCATGTACCTGCCCCCACTGCGTGCGGCACCCACTGGCCCTCCTGATGTCCCGTCCACTCCTTTTGCCTGGATTCCCATCACAGCCTCCCCCTGCTTCTGCTCTCAGCCCCCCACCTCCTCTCTGTGTCTGAGTCAGGGTGGACCTGCCAACACTCAAGTCAGGCCAGGCTACACCTCTGCTTGCTGCCCTTTCTTATAGGTCCAGGTCAGGTTTCCCAGAGGCCTCAGTGCCCTGGGCCCCTTGTCCCCGTGCGCGTTCCCTTCCTGTGGCCTTTCTTGCTCTTCCTCCAGCGCACCCCACCCTGGGGCCTCCGTCCAGCTCTGCTCTGGGTTCCCACGGCTCACTCCGTCACCCCGTTCCAGTCTTTGCTCAGGAAGGCCCACCCGGCCACCGCACGTTCCTGATCCCCTCACCCAGCTAGGTTTTTATCCTAGCACTTCTTGGTCACCTTCTTCCATCCACACTATATTATTTCCCATTGGTTGATTTTTATTTTGTTTTGTCTGCTCTCCCCTCTCACCAGAGTATGTAGGGACTTTTGACTGTTTTTTCGCTGATATATCCCAATACGTAGTAGGTGCTGAATACATTTGTTGATTGAATGACTTCCCCGTGGCCACCTGGCTGGTAATGGGGTCACCAGGATGCCACATCTTCACCTTCATGCGTGTTGCTCCGTCCTCCCCACCCCGTCCAGGGCAGCATCTCCCAGATCTGGCTGCTCACCACGTTTTGACTCTGTCTCCAGAACACTTTGCAGATGTCCACTGTAGGAACAACTCTATCTGAAGGGGTTCTGCCCTACTTGCCAGCCCCCATAGGCTTCTCCGTGGCCTGTGGAGTCCAGCCCTAGCTCTTCAGCCTGTCCTCAGGGCCCTTACCAGCAGGCCTTCTATGCCCCTGCCTGCAGCCACCGTGCCAGTCCACGCTCTTACCCAGCTCCCATCCTGCCCTCCCACCTGCCAGCATGCCCCCACCCTTCCCCTCACCGTCCCTTCCCTGTCACCCCCCAGCGCAGGCCCTGGCTCCCTCCTGGTCCGGCAGGAGCCTCCCCTCCAGCTCTGCCCCAGAGTCTTCTTCCCACTGATGCCACAGTGGTCTTGTGAAGCTCAGACCTTACCTGAGGACCCCCTGCTTCAGCGCCTCTCCTCACCCCTCTCTGAGACCCCTGGGGTCCAGTACCAGCTCACCTTGACACCTCTCACCCGACACCTTCTTCTTCCTCTAGGTTTTCCAAAGACTAAATCTTCTCTGGATGCCTTCCCGCAGGGCTGGGTCAGACTCCCAGCTGCTTGTCCTCGGGGCACCGTGCACTTACCCTTTGTGTCTGCACTTATCCCAGTGTCTGTGGGTGCGCATACCTGGGTGTGACTCGCCCGGAGCCCCTCATCACAGGCAGACCACGGCTGTTTTGCTCAGCTGTCTATCTTCGAGGCCTAGCACAGGGCCTGGCATGTAATAGACGCTCAGTAATCGTTCAGACAACATCCCAGTGCCTCCAGTGCCCTTCTCCTTCCTCTCTGCCAGCAAACTCCTATTCATCCTTTGAGACCTAGCTCCAGTTTCCTCTCCCCGGAGCTCCTCTGCGTTCTCGCAGAGCTTCGCACATTCCTTACTCTGCCACTTACTCCCCTGGGCGCAGGCCCCGGCCTTTCCCTGCTGCTACGGAGCTGCTCGGGGGCGGGGGGCCGGCGCGATACGCGCATCTGACACTCTGGTGGTGTTTGTGTCTCAGCCCGACCTACGTCCTTGGCTCGTCGTTGCTGTTTGTGTTGTTTCCCGTTTGCTTTGTGTAGTGTGATTTCCTCAGCATCATGGTCGCTTCCTGGAAGGAGGTGTCACAGCCCCACCTTTGTATCTCCTGTTCCCTGAGCCTGACACAGGGCTGGGTACCCCAAGAAAGGTTTTAGTGAATCCTTCTTGAGTCAGTGTCACGTCTACTTCAGGTTCCAGGGCCCGTGGCAGCTTGAGAGGCACCTTGACACTCTTTTTCTCATTCTGGACCAGCTTTATAATTTGCGGGGCCCCGCGCAGGGCCCCTTGTTCAAAAATGATGAAGCGTTTCAAGACTGTGATAGTAGAGCTCTAAACCAAGGATGGGGCCTTCTAGGCCTCAGCTCATGAAGCCTGCCCTGATCTCATTGTATCCAATGAGGGAAGACATGGTAGAGGTCATGATTTCCTTTTTACAGAGGGCAAAATGAAGGGCCCAAAGGGCAGTGACCAACCTCAGGGTGCACAGCTGATCGGCAACAAAGCAGAACTGAAAACATGCCAGCTCCTGGAGCATGCTTACTTCCACTGGCTCAGGGGCCCCCAGGACTTCTGAGCCTCAGTTTTCTCTGTAAAATGGGGACATTGACCTGGTCATAAAATGGCAACTAGAACAGCTGGTCGCAAATCCCCGGACAGTCCCATCAGGAACAGCACTGCAGCCTTTGGATGCCTTCCCCTTAAAGTCACTAATGCAAAGGTACTCTCTGCTTCTTGGAAGGACCTGAGTCCTGTAGACAGTAGGAGGCTAATTGGCTGTTGCGGTAGCTGAAGAAATTAAAGCCCTCAGAGGTGGGAGAAGGCTGTCTCTTCTCATCTCTTTTTGAAGGAATGTGGGGACTTGGGTGGAAGGTTCCCCAGGGAGCCTTGGTATTTTGGTGCTTTGATATCTAGAGGAATAAAAGAGCAATTAATCGCTAAAGATGCTTGTTCCCGTAGGGATGGCTGTTCCCGCAGTCTGAAGGTGGAGGGAGTGTCCCCATAGGGGCAGTCTGAGGGCAGAGGGAGTGGCAGGGGTGGGTGACAGTTCCTCCATCCGAGGGCCCTTGTTGCTTGAAGAGATACGCAGACCAGAGCCCCAGAGGGTTCGAGCTTTTGAAATCTCACTTTCTCCGGGAAACCCATTTTCTTTAGGGCCCCGCCCCGACCACGAGTGAGCGTCTTTCGTTGCCGAAAGACAGTGGAAGAGGGGTTTCCCAGCTGTCCTTGGTCCCGCATCTCCCGCAGAACAGGTTTCTCAAAGTGTCATCCTCAGACCTCTGTCCTCACAGCAGGGCTGAGAGTTGGGAGTCCCCCTGTTGGAACCAGGGGCTCCGAGATCAGTGCACACAGCGGAGGAGGTGGCCGGGCTGGTGCGGTGGGCACCGCTCCCTGGTGCCCCCCACCTGCCTCCGCCTGTGCTCCTGCCAGAGTAACCTGCACGGGACCTCAATGATGAGGCTGGGCGGCAGGGGTGAAAGAGAAGACGGTGTTCTTTGATCCCTGCAAGAGTTGTGTTAGGGGCCGGGAGACATGCGGGCCCGCCGGTAGGTTGTAAATGACCTGCAGCTTTGTTTTATGTGCATGGGGGGGCGGTTAGTTTATGCTTACACGTCCAGCTACAGATGTTCACTAGGCACAGGACCGTCAGAAACGCACGTCTGAGCGCAGAGCAGGTGGAGAACCGCGGTGCCCGTGCACATGCCCGGCTCAGGTTCTGTGTGGTGGCTGGGACGCCTTCTTGTGCAGGTGCAGGACCTGCCCGTCAGCTGCCTGGAGTGACTCACCTCTGGGGCTGCGTCTCCGAGCGCAGCTCTCAGTTGGACTTGGTGACTAAGCCGAGGCAGGAGGGTGTGTGGTGACCTGCTTCAGCTGGAAGTGGCAGGTGAGCATAGCTGCAGTCCGCGCCTGATCCCAGAGGTGTTGGTGCAGGTTCCCTGGGCTGGCCAGACACACAGGTATTTCCGCCAGGAGCTTCCCGCCAGTGTGGTGGGTCCACGGGCGTGGGGCGGGAGCTCCAGCTTCGACTCCGGCAGCCCCGCGGGCCCTCCCGGCTCCTCCCATGACCCGTGTTCTGTGTTTCCGCAGGGCCCCACCTTCCTATTTCTCCCCGGCCACAGCCCGTCCATCACAGTTGAGCAGCTGTTTGCCTGAAGTTAATTTCCAGAGGCAGGTAAGGACCCAGGGGAAGGACTTCTGGTGGCAGGCCACAGGGCAGTGCTGGGGAGCGGCTCTTGGGTCTGGGCTGCGGGGCTCTAGTGGAAGGGAGCTCCTCTCGCTTCCTTCTTCCACCAAGCCCGCTCCTGCTCATTTCTTCTGACGCTGTGGGCCCTTCTCGTCAATGCCGTGGCGCGGCTCATTTCTTTTAGGCTGAGATGTGTGCAGTCTCTGGACTAATATTTTGTGTCAGTTCTGTGAATCACAATTATATGATGTTGTTTTACATTGCATACATGTAAATGTACCTTTTTTAATGTGAGCATTTAAAATATATCACAACTTTTTAAAAAAATGGGTAGAACAAAAGCCAAGTGCTGGGACCCCTGGAGCAGAGGTGGATTGTGTGTGTCAAGGACGCTCTGGCTGTCTGGCCCCAGCCTGAGGTGACTCACTGTTTTCCAAGCAGGTGTAAGACCACCCCGGGTATAAATGTAAATTCCAGTTTTATAAATGTGGGTATTCAAACAGCATGAGCTTCAAGTTTATAAATAAGAATGCGTGCAGGTGGCTGTGTTTGTATTCGGGGCCACTTATGCCTGTCCAGAGGAGGCCAGCTTTCAAAGCTGTTTATCAGAATGGGCCTGATTGCTGCAGGGGACACTCGGCGGTCCAGCTCTGGGGTTCCTCCTGCGCCACGGTTCTTCTAAAGTGACAGCCACTGCTTCAAAGCTGGAGACTGAGTTCTGGGAGAGGCTAGATCCCTGCAGGGCGGGGCAGGAGCATGCTGTCTCGCCTGTGGCCTGGTGTCTCCCACAGAACGCAGTGTGGCCTCTTAGGCCATGGGCCACTTTGTCGCTTAGGATTCCTCCTAGTGGTTGGGATCCCCATCCCAGTCAACCTTCCTCCCACAGAGATGCGGGCTCAGAACCAACAGGAACATAGCGGGTGTGGTAGGGAGTGTGTCTCTGTGTGTGCACTGAATGTATGTTCCTTGGTTTCCCTTAATTGCATTTGTCCCATTTGCAGATGTAAGTTTCTGGACTCCTCCCCACTTTTTGCATAACACGTGGCTATCTACAGCAGCATCTGTAGCCATGGGCCCCTGCCCTCACCATTCATTTGGGTAGTTGATGGTTTCCTGTTTCTCTCTGTTTTCATTTTCTGGCTCATCTACATTTTTCCCTAGTTAGCTCCCACAGTGGTAGCGAGGAGAGGGAGCAGGTCTGTCTCTGACTTGGGCCGTTAACACCGAGACATTTTCTCAGGGCTTAGAATGGAAGTGCCGCCACTGTAGATGATGGGATGTTTCCGGAGCAGCTGGGAGACCATAACTGAGAAGCACTGTTATCTTTGCCTCTCACGGCTCAAGACTACACAACTACTGTGTCCAAATTACTTGCAGTTTGGACTTAGGTGATTCCGACACATCTCACTGGAGCCCAGTTCTTCATCCCTACAGGGGAGAATACGGATTTTCAAATGAAGTTAATCTGATACTTGTCAGAATGGTGATGAAAATTTAATAGCATGTTTGCTGGGATAGGCACCAAACCCAAACATGCTTTAATAGACTGGTAGCATATCAGTGACTGCAATGTCTGTGTTGTTTGGGTTGACCATGGTTTGCTCTCTTCAGTTATTAATTTTCTTCACATCGACCCCCCTGATGCAGATTCTGTTTAGGACAGAACCATGTAGACCAGCCATGATGTCCTCCTCTCTTGGGCGGGCACGTGCCCTCATGGCCCCTACATTCTGCCCCAGATCCGGCCCTGAGTGTTTCCCCTTGTCGGGCAGCAGGGCAGAAGCAGCTTGAAGTAGAGCCCAAAGAATACTAGAGAACCAGAAGTTTTAGAAATGATGAGTCTGCCTCAAAGCAAGACTGTCTCTGCCAAGGAAGCTGAGGTGGGAGTAACCTGGCCCCAAAGATCCATTCAGGCCCCATGACACCCTAGGCCCATGGCTGGGTGGCGAACCCCTCCCCCTTCAGTAATCACAGTTTGAGTGTGGGGGTTCCCCCCGGACGGTAAGGCTTGAGTGGAAGACAATGGAATGACATCCATTTGTACAGGATGCCAGGATTGTTGGACAGAGCAAAATTCTGTAAAAATGGACCATGTAAAATGATTCACACACACTCAGGCTCATGGTCACACTCACACACTTCTGCAGGTTCCGAGCCTACCTCTCTATTGGAGGAAGCTTGGCTGGTCAGGAAAGGACAGTGAGGAAGGTGTCCCCAACCACGGGGAAGCCAGGACCCCTAGGTCCTGGGATGCGCAGCAAAACCAGATATGTATTCTTGCCTGAGTAGGGCCGGCCCCTGAATGAAGAATAGATCTTGCTGTGGGACTGGGGTGTGGTTTGTGACATAGGATGAGAGTAAGGGCTTGAACCAGATGGGCCTGTTGGGGAGTTGGGGTGGGGGCAGGCGGAGAAGCTTGCTGGAACTCTGGTTCTTTTGTGTGTGGTGACACCTAGTGGCCCGTCAGCGGTCTTCAGTGCTGCCTTTCACAAAGAGAGAGCAAACTGACCATTAGCCCTTGGACACAGGACGGGGGTGGAAGATTTTTACTCCCCGAAGCCCTGACTCCCAGTTTGAAGGCTTTGTGGAGTGTTTCAGAAGTTCTCTGGAGAACAGGATAGCCCAAGGCACTCCAATTGCTCGAATGGGAGCCCTTTGTCAAGGCTCGGTTGGGTTATGGAGACTAGGTACTCTGGTCAGTGTCAACATGGTGACATTTGGCCCTAAATCAACATGGATATTGTAGAGAGGGAAAAGCTTAGACATCACAGGCCGTCCTGATTTTCCAATCAGCCAGCCGGGTGGTATGTGTTAAGTACCAGGCAGGGTGCTGGGCTATGGAGGATGGGGTGAGCTAAGTGGGCCCTGGCCCTCTAGTCGGGCAGGGGAGAGATGATAAGCAAGTACTCCAGCAAGACCCTCTCAGAAAATTGGGACTGGGCTATGTGACCCAGAGGGTGTAGGGGTTGGGGGGGGTGGACACAGAACAAGAGAGGTTCCCTGGGAAGGCGTCTTTAAGCACATTGAAGGATGAAAAGAAGCCAGCCCGGGCTCAGGGGGACACCCAGTGCAAAGGCTGCCGGGGGAAAGAGCTTCTTTGTATGTTCTAGAAATAGACTCGGGTTAGGAGGGCAGGGTGCAAGGGGAGGTGTGAGAAGGAGGCAGGGCCGCCCATGCAGGCCTCGTGGGTCCTTGTGTGGGACAGTGGAGTGGAAGGAAGTGAGGAGGGGTCCATGTGAGAAGTGATGTCCCACAACTGGGCTTTCCCACTCAGCTGGCTAGGGAGTTAGCGTTGTCCACTACACTGGGGATGGCGGGGCTGCCTTCCATCAGTGCCCCTCTGGAGGTGGCTTACCCCTTTTCCTGGTTATAAGTGTTCATTAGGCTTTTTTCTGAGCCCAAAGGAGGTGACAGGTGAGAAGACAGTACAATAGGGAGCCTGGGGGTGGGGGGGAAGGATGTGGGGGGAAGGAAGGCCCCAGAAGGAGACATGCTACATCAAGTATACAGCTCTAAGTAAGCCCCAGCTTGCCAGCTTTTAGACCCTTGTGGGGACTTTTGGGGCCAGAGCCCCTGTGAGCTTATGGGGACTGAGCAGTTGACGGGGACCTCCAAGGAGGCACTGCCCAGGGCTCTGGCACATTTCTGAGTCTGCCCTCTGCACAGAGAGCAGGCCGGCCTGGGAGAGCCTGCTGGTCCAGGGCTTGCTGGCCCCTGAGGGATGGACGGCATGAGGAGTGTCCTTGGCTTGCAAGCCAGGTTCCCTTGGTCCTCCCAGCACAGCTCCTTGGCACCAGGGCTGCCGAGGCTCCACCCCCACCAGCTGCTGCGTTATTTCTGACTCATCCAGGGGTTACAAGTGTGTAACCCAAACCCCTCCACGCCCGGCTTCCTCTCCGCCGGCTCCTCCTGGAGGGGGGGAAGCCCTGGGACTTTTCTCCTGGGACCTTTCTGCAGGTTGGGTCCCTGCTGTCCCTGGACGCAGCTGCTGCCTGCAGGCGCTCCCCTCTGACGGGGAGGTGGGTGTGTGAGGGTGAGGGCAGTGAGCTCAGGTGGGTATCTGTGCCCCACAACCCCGGCCTGCCTGTCCGCATCGAGGGACTCCTTGGGACCCAGCCCAGGCGCCGGCCTCTTGAATTCGTCAGGGGCTTTTGCGGAGGGGGGCCGCCCTCGTGTTCGGGGCTGGGCCCCGATCTCTCAGTTTCTCCAGCCGGGGCGCCGGCCGGCTGCCTCTGGTCATGTCACTTCTGCTCCTTGTGGAAGTTGCATGCTTTGAAAACCTGGGACACTTCGGGCTTCATTCAGCACATCTCCGGGGGCTCACCGCAGGGTTGTTCCTGAGGGGGTGGCTGGAAGGTTGGGCTGGCCAGAAGTTCTGGGTCAGCTCAGTGCCCTGGGCCCAGCAGCTCCTCACAGAGGGTGCTGGCCCCCAGCGCCTGCTCCAGGCCCGAGCCGCTCAGTCTGGCGGACTGGGGCCTGCAGGGGTGAGGCAGGAACAGGCAACTTGCCACCTGCTCTGGGCTCTCAGAAGCGGGACCCTGAAGCCCCGTGGGCTGCCTGACAACTCCCGCCGAGCACCCGGTCTGTGTCTGGTGTGTCTCGTCCTGACCCCCGCTTCAGTGCCTCTCCTTGCCCCGCAGGAGTCCCCAGGGCTGGCCAGGGAATGAACCGCGAGGGGGCTCCCGGGAAGAGTCCGGAGGAGATGTACATTCAGCAGAAGGTCCGAGTGCTGCTCATGCTGAGGAAGATGGGATCAAATGTGAGTGCTTCGGGGTGCCAAGCAACAGGTCCCCCAGGGCGGGTGCCTGATGTGGGCGGAACAGAGATCCGTAGCCACCTCCTGTGACAGCCCTGCTCTGGGAAGGGGGACGTGGGGCTTGTGGTTTGCCTCCGTGGCCAATTCTTGTCACCCAGAGCCCTGCCCGTCCAGTTCCGGGGGGACTGCTGGGGCGGCCTTCCCATCCCTGTGCCGAGTGTGACCCAGGGGCGGGGTGTGTGAGCCCCTACAGGCCCTGACCTTACTCTCCTCCTGTCTCCCCAGGAGCTGTCCAAGGGGCGCTGGGCAGGATGGTCCCTAAGAGGACAGCATGATTCAGAAAGGGATGGGCTCCCTGGGCAGGCCCCGTGCTGCACGGAACCCAGTCTCAGATCTGATCCGAGCGGCAAGGCCTGGGGGACCATGGGCCAGACTTCAGGGTGGGGGCAGGGGGTGCTCGCTCCGGAACTGAAGGGTCAGGACTCAGGAACAGGGACCCTGGGATGAGAGGAGGAGGTACGTTCGGGGAGCCCGTGCGTGCCGTCCCTCACCCGTGGCTGTCTCCCCCTTGCAGCTGACGGCCAGTGAGGAGGAGTTCCTGCGCACCTACGCGGGGGTAGTCAACAGCCAGCTCAGCCAGCTCCCCCAGCACTCCATCGACCAGGGTGAGTCCCAGCCAGGGTGCCCAGCCACGCCCTTCCCAGAGGCGCTAAGTTGTGGCTCCTGGGGAAAACTTAGCTCCTGGGGCCCATGAGGAGGGGCTGTAGCCGCCTCCCATCCAGAGAGCTGAGCCCCAAGCCTGGGCCCATCTCTTTCGCCAGATGGGAGCCGAGGACCCCCTCAGGTAATGGTGGGATCCCCCCTTTCTAGGCCCAGAGGAGCCGAGAAATCGAGGCATCTGGGAGCCCCTGTGACTGCAGAGGCTCTGGGTTTTTGCATTTCCTCAGTCTTTGGCTTGACCCCCGCCCACCCAGCACCTGGTGCAGGGAGAGCGTGAAACCACCCTCATGGGCTAGGACCTGTCCTGGGCACGGCTGTGAGGGGCTTGTGTGTTCCTGGCTGTACCCAGGCGAGAGGCCCCAAGGGCTCTGTGTGCCTGAGGTCTCCGTCTGCCCGGGGCAGTCGTTTCCATTTTGGGTCCCCTCACCTGATCATAATAATGGTGGCAGGTAACACTCAGGTATTTATCGTCTAGCAGGCACCTGCTGAGTGCCGGGCACACATCATTTCATTTACTCGTAGCGGTACCAGTGGTATTACTTGCACTTCACAGGCAAGGAAACGGGTTCAGAAGCAGTAAGGGATCGCCCTGGTCTTGCAGCCCGTTAGCAGAGGGCTCAGGATGCACAACCTGCTGCCCAGCTCAGGGCAGGGCTTGTCACTGTCTGTCCTGGGGTAGCGGGAGGCTGGGCACTTACGGGCCCTCCCGTTCTGGAAGGCTTACTCTCACCCTGGAGCCCACAGTGTCCTCACTGGCTCTTCCATCTAGTCCTTTCCTTTTATTTTTTTCGCCTCATTGGCATTACAGGCCATGAAATAGTGCGGCCTGTGGGGCGTCAGATGTGAGCTGGCTCCCAGCAGCGGAGCGCCGAGGGGCATGTGGCTGATCCGTGGGGCCCAGGAGGAGAGCAGGTGTAGCACGAGAGGCCGCTTGTCTTGAAGCTGTCCTTGCTCTCCTGGAGATCACAGGCCTCAGCTCTGGCGCAGGGCCTGGCTCCCCGGCTCTGACGCTGGCTGTCACCTGGCCTGTGCGCTCAACTCAGCAGAAACGTACCGGGCGTCCCCGTGGCTCAGGCAGCTCCTGGGACAGCCACTCGCCAAGCACAGCCTGCCTAGGTCACACTCATGCCGCAGCCGGTTCTGTACCAATGGCCAGGGGTGGAGTCTGCCCCTCCTGGGGTTTGTTTCTTTCTCACCCACGGCTGATCTGGGTTTCCAGCACGGGGCTCCCCAAGGCCCCCACGCTCCTGAACCATATCTCCCTGAAACCCTCAAGCTCCTGGGTCCTTAGGACTTTGCCTTTTCTCCCACCCCCATTTTAAGTCACTGAATCAACCAGAATTGGGACTGGGTGATAAGGATGCCTCGAGTAGGATGCTCTTAAAGGAAAAAAAACCATAATAAGTTGTAGAACTGTATGTCATTGTAGAAAGCACCCCCCAACACACACACACTCACTCATGTATGTGTATGGGGGAAAAGCTGGAAGAATATAGACCAGGCTGTTAATAGGAAATTTTAATAGAGAATGGAACTATGTAAGGGACTTTAACTTTCCAAGTCACACGTTTTTTTGAAAACTAATTTTTTAACATTGCCCATGCATTTCTTCTGTAATGAGGGGAAGTTTAAAAAAGCATTGAGAGAACTCTGTCTCACCTAGCTAACCCAGCAGTTGAGAATAAAAATGAACTGTGTGGAGTTAAGGTCATGATGGCCTCACCTGGCCTGAAACTGCTGAGCCGTCAGGAGTGAGCCATGGGCATGTGGGTATGACCCCAGAATCTGGGCCCTCCTGGTTGTGGGGTGTCCGAGGGACAGCCAGGCAGGCCTCAGAGCTGTCTCCCCAGGGAGCAGGCTTCTGGAGCTGCACCAGGGCCCAGCTGGTGGCTGGGGTGATTCTCTGCTGTTGGGGCCCCCTGCCTCCTGCCCTGGGTCCCCACGGACTCCCCTGAGCTGAACTGCACAGGAAGACACACTGCTGCAGGAAGTCCTGAGGATTCCTATGGACTGAGTTGGGGGCGAATGGGCAGCTGTGCCTGGAAGAGCTTTAGGAGTGTAGCATTATTTTTGTGTGCCTAAGGACACTGTAGACAGATGCACAACAAAACAGCAGTTGGTACAGTCTCTCCCGTCATGGGGGCACAACCCCGGGAGCAGGACCCTGCGTCTCTGCCCACACCGGGGGGCCAAATGGGTCTTGGTTAACATTCTAGCCTGCCCACTTATCTGTTGGCAGGGCCGACCTTAGCTGATGCCACAGGGATGCTGCTGGCAGGGGCTCAGGTGCTGTCCAAGTGGTAAAAGTCCCGGATAATTGCTCCCAGCATAAGAGACCCCCCCCAGTAAAGGCCTAGGAGCAGTCAGGGTGACAGTCTGGGCTTGGACAGTCTGGCAGAAGTCTGGTGTGAGCACCTCCTGCCACGAGGTGGCACTGTGTCTCAGCAAATGCCCAGCGCTATCCTCCGCAAGAGACAGAACAGACTCCTTGAGTTCCCCTCAGTGGGGGTCTGAGGCCACCCACCAACAGGACAGAGGTTGGCATTGGTCTACCATCGTTAGACTCACACACGCTTCCCCTCTGGGGCTGGAGGGGTCTGGTACTGGGAGCCCTGCTGGCCCTCCCTAGCCCCAGGGAGGAGAGTGGGCTGGGCATCCCTCGCCCCATGCCCAGGCCTCCCACCCTCCTGGTCTTCCCTTGGTGAACTGTGAAAGTGTGTACAGTATCTGCTGGGTCCGGGCAGGTGCTGGAGACCATGCTGCGTGGGCCTGCACCATAGGGACTCCCTAACCAGTGCTGGCCTCTGCTGGTCTGAGACCTCCCATGATAGCCTCCTTCTGGAAGCCCTCCTTCCCCTCCCTCGTCTTCTGTGATACACCTCTCTCTGTCTCTCCATCTCCCCAAGCTCATCTTCTGCCCCCTCCGCTCACTGTCCGTAAGTGCTCCTTTTCCCGCACCCCACTGGTGCTTTCCACATTCTGCCCTCCCTTCTGTCACACCTCCCCCCTGGGGGTCTCACAGGCTCTGGCCAACACCCTCCAAATATACACCCTCAGCCCAGACCCTCTCCTGACCCCCCAGAACTTTACGCGCAACTCCCTCCTGATCATCTTGCCACAGACAACCCACACTCAGATCCGGATTCATGCTCTACCCCCACGAATCTATTCTTCCACCTGTATTCTCAGTGATGGATGTATCACCAAATAACCAGTGTGCCGGGGACTCCTCTTTGAAGACCCGAGTGTCCAGTGAGGTACCAAGTCCTTGTAATTCTTCTCCCTTAATGCTCCTCAAATCTGCTCTGTCTTCTCCACCTTGGTTTGAACCCTCATTTTGTTCAGAGCTCATTTTTGTCGTGATCCCTGCAAGCAGTTCCTGGCATCTTGCCTTCTCACCTTGCCCCTCCCGTGCACTTCCTACCCCTACCTCAGCAGGTCATTGCCCAACTTAAAATCTTTCAGTGGCTCCCCACTGCCTTGCGGCTGAAATCCAGCCCCTCACGTGATCAGCAAGATCCCCTGACGTGGTGGCCTCATGCACCGTAAACAGCCATAGCGAATGGCCTTCAGCTCCTGTCTCGGGCTGGTCTTTGTGCCTCTGCATTTTCCTCTGGGCTGCTGGGAGCTCAGCCCTGACCCCCAGCCTTCGCCTGCCTCTCGCAGGCTGGGCCAGGCCTCCTGTGGTTACCATCACACACATGTACCCCAGCTGTGCTTCTCCCCACACCGTCTCTTGGTCCATCTCTTGAGCAACTCTGAGCCCCTTCAGCTTGGGACTGTGGCTTCCCCCGTTTTATATTTCTGGGGCTGGCCCCCCATGAGGCCCAGGGCATGCTTGTACAAATGAATGGACCAGGCTGTGGGTCTGAGGGCCCACCGTCCCCCAGAAAGGCAAGAACGTGGAGCCAATTCTCTGAGCACTGTCTCCCGCTCCCCCAAGGTGGCCAAGCAGAGCTGCCAGCCAGGCAGGACTGACTCTGAGCCAGAGGAGATCAATACCTCTCTGGGAAGGTCGCCTCGGTGAGAAAGCCAGCTGGAAACATGGGTGTCGAGAGCTGTAGCTTCCAAAAAGCAGGCTCGACAGAATGCTGAGTTCATTCCTTTCTTATTGCTGGTGCTACTCTCTCCATAACACATATTGATCTTTTTTCCTGGTTATAAAATAATGTACAGTCATTGTTGAAAGCGGGGAAAGGGAGAAGTAGCAGAAAAGCTGGACGGATTGAATCCGACCACACGGCTGCAAGCACTATTACCTCCTGCTCATGTTCCCATCAGCCTTTTAAAAATAGGCTTGTATTGGGGCGCCTGGGTGGCTCAGTTGGTTAAGCGACTGCCTTCGGCTCAGGTCATGATCCCAGGGTCCTGGGATCGAGTCCCACATCGGGCTCCC